CAAGGAACAGCTCGAGGAACTCAAGGGTCCACTGCCCTGATAAGTACCATCTCTCTAGAGAAGGAACTCTTGGCTCTGTCATTTATGTATAGTGGGAACATGGGGATGACGCAGTTTCACAAGTGACTGTGAAGCACTGCATTTTCTACATGAATCATAATGCTATTCACACTGAAAAATGTGAGACACTCTGCTTCTGAAATGGGTAAGAGTGAGAGGTTGTGAAATCCTCTCCAGATATCGTCAAACATTAGCATGTTCTCAGCTGTCTGGAATGCTGTATATACTGTCCTGACCTGAAGCAAGGATGAGAAACCATGTGTAAGGCATTTGCTCCATTACCCAAGGAATCCATCTCAGTCAGATGGAGTGTCTTTCTGGTGGTCTGCTTCTGTCACCACATCCTAAAAACATGGGTAGACAGATTTTCACAGATTTGGAGAATGTAACGAAGGGGGCTGGACGTAAAATACAATTTTCATGGTGTATATATTTACTTGAAGAGCTGGCAATTCATCCATCAGAGATGGGTAATATACACTAGAGATGTTTTACACATTATGGGGTGTGCTCCAAAGCAAACAGTAACCTAATGAGACTAGGATATTTATCTAACAATAGCTATTCTCTCAGGAGGTTCAGACAGGAAAGAATCTGCCAGCAATGTGGAAGATTTGGGTATGATCCCTGGATTGGGAAGATCCTCTGGAGAAGGGAATGGCAACCTACTCCAATATTCTTGCCTGGATAATTCCATGGACAGAGGAGCAGCCTGGTGGGCTACAGTCCATGGGGTCGCAAAGAGTCAGACACCACTAGTGTCTAAAACACACACACACACACACACACACACACACACACGTTCTCTCAGGCAAGAAGGAGCTGGCCAGCTTTAAAGGGCAGAACTGCCGCAGTTCAGAAGGAAAGAGATTACTGGTTCAGTGTACACTATTACAAGATATCAATATGAAAGCAGGTGAAGAGTGCTAGCCAGCATCACTGAGCACCCATACGGCTCAGCTCAGAGGTCAGCAAGATGAGCATCAGAAAACACACCTCCCTCCCTGATGGAGGACACGGCCTAACACAGAACAGGAAAATGCTCTGATAATCATGCTGCAATGGGGCAAGGGCTCACCTGGAAGTGTGTGTGCATGTGTCTGCACACGAGGGAAGGAGGGAGGGCAGACGGCAGGTAAGCCAGCCAGGGAGAGCCCTGAGCCTCAGGAATACAAATGAGAAAACAGTTTCTGCTTCTGCCTAGAGGGACGGAGTGGTCAGGGAGTTTCTGTGGGTGATGATAAACAACTTTGAAAGGCCAAGCACTGACCAGGTGAAGAAGGAAAAGAAAGGGATTCCAAACAGGGGTGGAGACATGAGCAAAGAATAAGGAAGTAATGGGTTTAGGGAAAAAACTCGTAATCCAGGGACAGATGGCATGTGCATGTACCTATATGCATACATATTCGGAGATACAAAAATAGTAATTTACGTCTGTGCTTGTTTGCATACACACACGTACCTGTGTACACACACATATATATGTTGTAGCCAACTGTTGTGGCCCTATCCACCCCTTTGCACCCGCACACCTGAGAGCACACACTCAGCTGCCTGCACCTGTATTCTTTCTCTTAGAGGTCACTTTGCCACCTGAGAAGCAGCTCAATAGGGTACCCAATCAACTCCCCCACTGGAGCAGACAGAAGGTGGTGCAAATATAACTCATCTTTCTCACTGTTGGGCAGGAAATTCTGAGGCATGACTTCCTTTGGCTTCCCAAGTCTGCCAGCAGGGGTGAACTCTGGTCAGGCACAGTGATCCACACTTGGTCACATACGCTCAGCTAGTTGCCTCCCCCTTCTTATCTCATCTCTGCTCTCCTCTGCCAGTATCCTCCATCTCCCATGAGACTCCCTACACCCCAACCTTTGCTGCAGGGCCTGTTTCTGGGGGAATCCAGAGTTAGACATGTAAATGTGTGTCTGTATTTATATTTATAGGCATGCTTATATAGATGTGGATATGTGTGTGTGGAGAGATACACCCATAGATACAGACATTTATGCATGCAAATATATATGCACACAAACACCACATATATACCCAAATGCATCGATGTGTTTCTGTCTGTCTATTTATAGTACCATTGTTTTCCTTTTTACCAAACCATAGCAGATAATCATACACAGTCTTCTTTTTAAACTGGGGGACCTGTAGCCTCCAGGGGCATACTTTCCCTGTAACCTCCTCAGTGGACCACCCAGCCTCTCACAGGTCCTGTCCGAAGCCCTTGTCCAGTTTCACCCCCTTATTCCCCGCACTGTCCACAGCAAGGTGTCCGAGCCCATGGCCAGGCAGAACCTTCACACTCTGAGTCTCATGGGGCCAGGGTCAGGCTGCACATTTGCAATACTGCCTTCTAAAGCAAACATCTGTCCAGTTGCCAGTCTCAGGACAGGGCCATCTGCTGCCAAGACATTGCCTCTCTCTCTCTCTCTCTCTCTCATTTTTTTTTAGCATACTACATCAAAAGATAGCAAAATAAAAGCATATTAAAAACCAAATTACTTTCATAACAAGCTGCAAAAAAGAAAGCTTATGCCTCAAACTTGTGTATTCACAAAAAGAAAAACTGCTCTTTTGACTCTACCTATACCCAAGCCATTGTTCTTGCCTGGAGAATCCCAGGGACGGAGGAACCTGGTGGGCTGCCGTCCATGGGGTCGCACAGAGTCGGACACGACTGAAGCGACTTAGCAGCAGCAGCAGCAGCATACCCAAGCCAACTCATAAATGTCCTGTCCCCAAGCAAGAGCTCCATCTCCTCTTCTCCTTCCCTTATTAACTCACAGGCTGACACCAGGGACAGTCAAGGCCATTAGCTGTCCCTTATGTGCCAAGGGTGGTAACATGGAGAACTAGAAAGAATATAGGATTAGGAATACAGAAACATAGGAGATTAGAATATATAGGGATATAGAAAATGATATAGAATATAGATCTGGAGGAACTCATCAGAAGGAAAGCCTGGGCAAGCAACTACTTCTTTGGATTTTTCTTTCTTCAACTGAAAATAAAAGCAGTACTTACAGGGGCCTGAATTTGGCCCTCTGGTGTATTTCATTGATCATGCAATGTCTTTATAAACACACAAAGTCTGAAGACCTTGAGTGCATGTGTATATGACCCTTTACATATAATCTCTAAACTCAATTCCATTCCCAACATCAGATAACTTTGTGTGACTGTCATTGGTGAAACTGTGGGAGCCTCCCATCCTCCCTGCCACCTTCTAAATTTTCTCCCCAAGGAGGCTCAGTTGCCTAAACTTGGCCCACCTTTATGGAAACAATAATTCATTCAGATTTAAAGTTTCCTACTGAAGTTTGCCTTGTTTTTCCTCAATCTACCCAAAAGAATGAGATGAAAATAATTTATTTAATTATCAGAAAACTTTACAGCTACCAGTGTGGAAGAAATAAAGTTGTGAAATGGGCAGTATTTAGTGGCAAACAGAAATTATTAAAAGAAAAAAAGAGCTATTTAGTCATAATTATCAAGAAAGGAAAAACATGGAAGTTGAGTCTGAATATGCAAAATCATGTTCATCTTCATCAATTAGCAACTTCTGTGTTTTTACATATTCTTATAAGGTATTTTCTATACCTTATATTACATATTTATATTTACACATACATGGTATATAATGTACATATACCTTATAGTACATATTTATTTTTACATCTATATCTATATCTACATCTGTATCTATCTATAGATATAGATATAAATATATCTATCTATAAACACTATATATCTATAGGTGTAGATATAAATATCCTGTGTCTCCTTCCTCCTCTCTCCTTCCTGTCCTTCCCCTTGCAAAAACTATAACCCTTGGTCATGCTTACCTTAATCTGGACTCTCTAAGTTGTATATGCATGTGTGCTATAGAAGGAGGAAATATTTTGGAAAAGACATGTAGAGAAATGACAAATACTATGATTTATGATGATCCACATATGATTCTGCTTTGGTGAAGTTAGGATGCTGAAGTTCCCCATGTATTGTTTTTTTTTAATATTCTGAGATGAGTACTGGTGTTCTTTACTGCAAAAGATTAAAAGCTTAAAAAACTTATGGTTGTACTAACTCCCTACTGTAAATAACTTGGAGCAGCTGATTAAAACTAGAGTCCCCATCATCATCAATACCACCACCATCATTGGTGATTTTCTTCCAATTTTAAAATACATTAATAAAAAATATCCCTTTAAAACTATAACATATGTTATATGTTTTCTCATTCCTAAGCACTATGAAGATGTCCTTAGTTGTGAATTACAAATCAACAGTGCTTAAAAAGGCAAGTCTAAGGCTTTGTCTCACTAATCCCTTCTCTGCCCTGAATCCACAGTTTAGGGGTCATTTCCTCCTGTCCATTCTCCTCAGTATGATTGACCAATCCTCAAAAGCAGCTTCTCTCCAAAGCAAGCTACATTTATCTCCATCTGCTTCCCATTTGACCTCACTAAAGAACTCAACAGCTGCCTAAGCAAGAAGTTTCTCTGGCCCAAAGAATGGAGAATGGCCCAAAGAAAGCAGGTGAAGGAAAATCAACCCCTCTCCCTCACTCTTTAGACCAGTGGTTCTCGATCAGGCGTGATCATGTTCTCCAGGACACGTGTGGCAATGTCTGCAGACACTGTTGCTGGTCACAATTGAGAGGGTGAGTGCTCCTAAAATCCAATGAGTAGAGACCAAGGATTCTGCTAAACATCCTACGAGGCACAGGACAGCTGCTACCTGTGAACTACCCAGCCCAGAATATTAACACTGCCAAGGCTGAGATACCCACCTTAGAGTGCTGAGCTTTTTCCTTGGTTCCACATCAGGAGGGAGAGGAGAAACTATAAAGAGACTTAGGGCTGAAGTTGGTGAGCTGAAGGCACAGTTGACAAAAGGAATACCTTGGGAACATCCAAGGCAGTACTTACAACACAGGAACACTTGATGCACTTGTCTCCTTCAGGCTGAAATTCCTCCCCTTCTCGGTACTGCACCCCCTCAAACACACAGCCTGGAAAGCAAAGCAGAGCTTCAAATCAGGGCCACAGTTTTGATTCAGCTTGACATTATATCCTTCTAGCCACTGAGTAACCATCCCCACCTCCACCCCCAACTTGTACAGCATAATCTTCGATCAGAGGACAAGACTGCTTCAAAGTAAAAAAAAAAGAAAAGAAAAAAACCTGTAGAATACAAAAAAATCAACATGGACCCAGAAACCTGAAGATGCTAGAAAGCAAACAAAATGGTGGAAGTCAGGTCGGCCTGCGCAGCAGCGGTACAGGGCTCCGAGCCTGCGGAGTCTGAGGAGCTCCCCAGCGCCGCCCCCGTCACAGCCAGGGAGCCAAATTCCAGAGGGGCTGGAAGAGGCAGAGAGACGGCCAAGCCAGAGGGGTCAAGGACGAGCTTAGCAGCAAACGACACGAAGCACTGCCAGAAGAGTAGCCAGAAGTGGCCAGCTTCTGCCAGACCCTTCGCACTCCTGACCTCGCTGTATCTTCAGTGAGCAGACAGAGCACGGACTCTGGTCACTGCCCCTGCAGGTGAGGAACACGCGGCCCAGAGAGAGGAAGGAACTCGTCTGGCTGGCAGCGCTGGGCTCTAACTCAGCTCCAGCCCACTGGCCATACCACACAAAGGGCCACACACCAAGACAAGAAAGGACAAAGGCAAGGCAGGAGGCACCACACAAGTTCTCAGTCCCACCCTGTGTGTTGATGAAGGGACTAGGATGTCCCCAACAAGTCTGACTAAAAATAGGCCCAAGAGCCAGGAGGTGCCTCCTATCAGAAAGATGCCCAGCTCGCTGCTCTATTCATTAAGTGATGTCACAGATGACTAGAAGAACAGGCTGGCCAGTGACCCTGCACCACACGGGCCAGCTAGCAGCAAAGCCTCCTTCCTCAGGACTGTCCTCACCAGCTGCTTTGCCAGAATAGCTGAGGTCACTTTCCACAGATACACAGTGAGGAAAGCGGCACTTCCAATGGGGAAACTCAGCAAAGAAGGCTCTTGTGAAAAACTGACTCACGCCCCTGAGAACAGGTGTTCAAGGCCTGTCCACTAAAGTCGTCAACACACACGCTCAGTCATGGATGACTTTTTGTGGCCCCATGGACTGTATGTAGCCCACTAGGCTTCTCTGTCCATCGAATTTTTCAGGCAAGAATACTGGTTTGGGTTGCTATTTCCTCCTCAAGGGGATCTTCTTGACCCAGGGATTGAACCCACATCTCCTGCATTGACAGGTGGATTCTTTACCACTGTGCCACCTGGGAAACCCAAAGTTGTCAACAGAACCCACCAAACTCTCAAAGCAGCTGGTTCCTGACAAAAGGAACATCTGAACATATGAGCATTGCCCATAACCACCCGATCAAGCCCCTGGACCTATTCATTTTAAAGCTAGATATGGAGCCTTTTGTTCAACTGAAATGCATGGAGAAAAACGTTACTGAAGCCGAATAGCTGGGTGAACTGTGGCTTTAAGATCTTTCTGATGCCCACAGCCAGAGCCAGGGGGAGGAGCCAGAGCCACTCTCCTGCTGTTCCCTTTGATCCAGGAGACCTGACAAGCATGGTGCCCTCCTCGTGGCCATATCTCAGCACTGTTAATAATGGCAGGTGTCCAGTCATCTCTTCTCAAAACCCATTTCCAACAAAGGGTCTTCAATGCTTTCATATATGTTTGCACCACTGGTTCTGTCATACAGATTGCCAGACAGGTTAACTGCACAATCCACATAATAACTTAAATAATGAATTTTTAAATGAAAACTGTTGCAAACTGTTCCCTTCACAGCCCATCCTCCTTGAGCAAAGAGTCAGACGAGAAAAGAAGGAGCAGACAACTAAGAATGTCCTGCAATCTGTTTCAGGAAGAAACTGACCACAAGCTGTACATGTTTGTCATTATGTGGAATACCATTCCATGATCAATGACAGATGCCAGTCCTTCTGAATTACAAGGAGAATACCCCAAGGCCTCAATGGACTGTCCCTCTCTAGACTTGGCTGAGGCCTCCTTCCCAAGACACAGGATAATGCAGTTTGGATGCGGCCAGGTCTGAGTCTTCTGATTTTCATGCCAAAGGTTGGTCTTTGAAATTAAGGAGAGAGAATAAAGTTGATTCTTGACCCCATAACCAAAGGCAGAGTGCCTACCCAGATGTCAGGGGTTAGTGTGTAGCACTGGCAAGCTAATTTTTTACCTTTTTAGTTTATATGGGGGTATAGCCGATTAATAATGCTGTAATAGTTTCAGGTGCATAGAAAAGCAACTCAGCCATATATATATATATATATATATACACACACACACACACACATACACACACACACACACACACACACACATGGACACACACAGATCCATTCCCCCCTAAACTCCCTCCCATCCGGGCTGATTGGCAAGTTAACTTTTAGAGATTTGCTTTCCAGGGCATCTAGACCCAAGTTGAATAATTATCATGGTGTGGGGTAGGGGGAGGTAGTACAGTATGGTGGCCAGAAAAGAAAAGAGGCCTGGGACCCCAACCCCACCGTTGGACTTATCCTCATTGAGTCAAATTTCTGCCTGTGTGAACTAATAACAGTACTTCATCCTTACTGAAATGGTGGTGAAGACTTAACATTACAATATGTGCAATTACAGAGCTCAGCCTTTCCTTCCTGGGAACTCAACTAAAAAACAAAATGAGAGAAGTAATTGCTCAAATATGATAACTTCAGCTGCTGGAATAAATTCATTCTGTTGTTTCTATATGCGCACTTTCAAAGGCAGTCTAAAAATATGACTATCTCCTAAGTGAAAAGGAATGTTATATATGCCGAGTTGATTCTGCACCAATAAAGCGGCAGTCTACTCAACCCAACTGAATTCGTATTTAAGAGCTTTGATATCTTTTAAATCTCTATGGCATATAAAATTTGCTCTGTTATCAATCTCAAGCTTGGCTGTGCACAGAAATTATCCAGGAGGCCTGAGTTTCACCCTCCAAGATTCTGATGGAATTGGTGTGGGATGCAGCCTGGGCATCAAGGTTTATTTCTTAAAACTTCCCAGGTGATTTTCATGTGCAGCCTAGAGAATGACTGAGCTAACTTAATAAAGATCCTTTAGGCATTTTAGAATATGGTTACATGATGCAAAGCACTCAGTGCATTCAGAGGGGAATGGTACTCAAGCAAACTCTGTTTGATAGATACAAAATAACTGAGTTATGGAAAGAATTATTTTACTTTCAACTTTCTGGCCTTCACTTAAGCTTATCCAGTAATACAAGCTTAACAGAAATTGCAGTGTGAAAAGGAAGCTTGGTTCAATAAAGACTGTCCAGGGAACTCAGGAAGGTTAGGAGCAGTGGAGAGAGATTGTCCTCACTGTCATTCAAAGATGAGGGAAGGCTGGACCCTGGAAGGGACTCAGGTCTGGGAGCACAGCAGACTGTGTGGAGGGAAACGGCAGGAAGGGAAGGGAAGGGGCTCATCTTCACAGAGCATCCCATGACAGTGCCTTCGCCATTTCCCGGGAAGGCTCACAGAACAGAAGGCCCTTTGGAGATTAACTTCAAAAGCAAAGAGAAGTAGTTGTGAGTATCGCCTCCAGTGAGGAAAAGCACTCAGAGTAAAACCCAAAATGTAGAACATCTGTTGAAGAGTATGGGCCAGGGGCTTAAGGGATCAGAAAAAAATCTCTCACCTCAAAATCCCCGGGCTTGTACCTAAGGGCAAGAAAAGAGGCAGGAGGCCTTTGTAATCCTGTTCAGAGAAGTAAGAGGAAACACTCCAGCCACTGGAAAGGAAAGATCACTTTGCTGTCAGCTAGGCCCTGGGGCCCTCTAAAAAGACAGTGGTTCCCAGTCGCTGCACCACGCAGAAAACCGAGACCAGCAAAGCCTTAAGCTAAATCCACTTAGGGACCCAGCTCTCGGTGTTCAGAAAACATCTGGTCGCCTCATCACCAAGGCGAGCCCCGGCCAAGGTATTGCAATATGAAGCAGTAAAAAGACATTTCTGGAAGCAAGGGAAAGCCACAACCTTTCCTTCCAAAATAAGCGTTACCTGTGGCCCTGTGGAGTGGAAAGCAGGCCTCCGGAGCCCGGAGCATCCTTGCCAAGACCTACAGCACATTGCAGTCATCCCAGGCCCGCCGGAGTCCAACCGGACATTTCTATGCAAAGGAGTTTGCTCTCCTCACCCATTAGGTACACAGACATAAAGGGAGAAAAATTCCAGTCGGGAGTGGGAAAATCATGCGTGATTGAGAGAACCCTGAAGGATTTCAACAGTGCTGCACTGTACCGGGGAGCCACACTGCCTTCCCCTTTCTGCGAGGTTACCTGGACACGTGGGGCAGCATGTTCCCAGATGCTTGGAGGGGGTTTTACAATGAACGACACATCGCACCTCAGACTCTGTGACAACGCCTTCCTGAAAAACAGAATGTCACAATCGACGTCAGCCCCAGCATTCCCACTGAGATTTACTCACTTCTGGAAAGTAACCAAAGTAGTAGGATAAGAACTCAAACACGAAAAGTGCAAAGGGGGATGGGCGTCAGGTCCATAGGTCCATGGCACAAACTTGTCTGATGGTCTGATGGCTCCAACTTGTCCATTTCAAAGTGCAAATCTTGTCACCTGTCCTCTTCCCTGTTCTGGCTCTTTCTCTTTGACTCTGATTTCTTCCTTTCTTTCTTTTAAATCTAGTATTTAAGACTTCCTTGCTGTCAGTCAGTAGCTGACAGAGTCTAGCTGTTCATTCACAACTGTTTTAGGTTTTCAACATGTCCTATATGATCTATAATTGTTATTACACTTTAAGCCATTAATTATAAGCCACAGAGGACAAACATAATATCCCAGACTGGCATCTGGAGAACCAAATCCTCACCACCCTTCCAGGAATAAGTAGACACCAGCCCTGCAATTGTAGATGTTTCTCTGGGCTTCCCAGAGAGCCTGGCTCTCACTCAGCAAATGAAGAGATCAGATAAAACTATTTTAAAGATCATACTATGTTATGTTAAAATAGAGACTTTCAGTCTTAATAGCAAAATCAAGGGACTCATTTGCAACTGATCTTTTGACTCTAGTACTTTAATATTTATTGAAACATTTTTTTATTCAATTTTCAGAGTTGGTCTTTGAAGGATTTTCTCTATATTCTCTACCCACTTTATAAAATGGTTTTGTGTGTTTATTAATTTTCTTTTGAGGGGAGTGGTAACAAAAGGTAAAACACTAGGTAACAATCTGACAACTAGATAATTTTCTTCATCGAGCCTGCTACTATATCATCTCAATCCAACAAAGAAAGTTACATCCTAAATGTCTTCACATCTGTCAGACCTGAGGCTTCCACTACCAAGTAATTTATTATGGTCTATATCACATCTGCAAAGGAAAAAATGTCTAAATTCCAGCAATATTCAACATCAAAAAAGGAACTGGCCTTTAGTTATATAACTTAAGCAATGCAAAAAGTCCAGGATCAAATTCCCTTTAGTATCTGCAATGCAGATGCAAGATTCAGGTTACTCCCCAGCATGAATTTCCTGTCTCTGATCTTCAGATTTTCCTTTTCCAGTAAGACACTAAAAGTGGAAAATAAAGGTAAATTTTCCACCATCAAACTCCTTTACTAAGAAGACTTAAGAAATAAGCTAGAATTCAACTCAAGTGGAAATAAACCGGATCATTAGACTAGCTGTTATTGGTCTGGTACCAAGTTGTACTCAGTATACACAGCCTCTACCAGAAGTGTTTTAAATGACACTGTTGCTCATTCTCACAACCACTCTATGAGGTAGTACTATCCTCATTTTATGGGCATGAACGTGAAGTCTGGAGAGTTTAAGTAACAAGTTATGTGAATGGCAACAGCCATATTTTACTCACTACACTACACTCTCTCTTCTGTTACTGACTCTGTGTCCTGAGAAGAAAGATCTTGGAGAGAGAGGTTGCAATTGTGTCCTTCAGCAGAAGAGCATCTTACATGAAGACTTCCCTGATGGGTACCAATAAACAGTCATTTCTTGCAATCATAGATGAGGTCTCCTTCCCTAAAGAAGGAAGAAAGTAAGCAGGAGTGGGAAGGTACTACCTAAGAGAAGGAGAAGCTTTTTGTAACTAACTTAACAGAGATCTGCCTTTATGGTGATTGAGTAAAATGATATTTACTCAGCAGGAGTGGCTGCTGGCTCAGCAGCAGGTGGCTCAGCAGGAAAGAATCTGCCTACAAGGTAGAAGAACCAGGTTCAATCCCTGAGTTGGGAAGATCCCCTGGAGGAGGGCATGGCAACCCACTCAAGTACTCTTGCCTGGAGAATCTCATGGACAGAGAAGCCTGGCAGGCTGCAGTCCTTAGGGTCACACAGGGTCAGACACAGCTGAAGCGACCAAGCAGCAGCAACAGGGCTTAGGCAAAGCATTATAAAAGGAGAAAAATTAAAAGGCAAAGTTCACCCTTGGTAGTGAACATCCCCTCTCTGGGCTTCATTCTAAAGTTCAGCGCTTCCTGACTCCTGGGTCTGTTGGTCTTTAAGAGCTCTTTCAATAATAATTTGATATTCCTAAATATTCTCTATGGGTCCTGGTGAGTGACTAGTAACCAAAGCTGATAAGCAATGGGATTTTCAGTGTTCACAAATGATGATGGCTTGATATGTTTTTCATTCAAGAGAATATTCCCTCCCAGATAATACTGGTTTTCATCTAATTCAAACAATGGCAACAAAATTCACCACTGGTTCATGCAACTTGAGGATCTTCAAGACCTCTGACTATTGTATACAAATGTTATAGCCTACTCCAAAAGGCAAGCGGCTGTTGCTTTCAGAGTGTCCCTGTCAAAAATTGGAAATTGCATCAGTCAAGAAGCAGGGTGGTGATGGAGTGGGGCAAATTTTAGAATGAGTGTGGGCTTTGATGTTGTTAAAAGTCATTGTCATCATCATTTGGTTCCATGAAGCTGACTGAATGTATAACCCAGAGAAAAAATTCAACAAATATTTACTGAATCAATTAATCTATTGTTCATATCTGTTCTACCTACTGCTTATTTTCATAAATAATTTTGATTACTACATAAATAAATTGAATATTCAACTGAATAAGTAACTGAAGATCTTATGAGTGAACATGCCCACTGTGGGCTTATAATAACATGATTCTATAAGATTCAGATTTCGATAAGCTAAATGTCAATATACTTGAGATAAGATCAGAGAGAAATATGCATTATTATACTAAGTGCCTTCTCCTTTAAATGCAACAGCATATCCTTGGACAGAGAAATGAACCTGGGGTAAAATGATTTAACAGCATCTTGTCTACAGAGAAAAAATTTTAAATTATGTCAAAATTAGATGAGTATTTTTTTAACAGAGTATTTCTTTAAAGAAAATAAGTTAGGATATTTTGATTCTTCATTTCCCCTTTAGTTTATCTTGCCTGTGTTTAAGACGTGTAATGATTAGAGTCACATGGAAACAGTTCTCTTTTCAGAGTTCAGCACCAGGCAACAGTGGGCTCCTTAGGAGCTGAACTGGTGGTTCTTAAATCAGTTGGGTTGAAATCATGGTGATCACAATGTACTAATTGCTTTGGTTAAAACAGTTTACAGACTGGCTTCAGTTCAAAATGTTTCTAAATTTTAAAAAAAAAAAAAGGAAAACATATATCCTCTAACAATACCTCTTTCTGCTAACAAGAATTTGTGTTTTGCAAAGCTGACTCAACAGGAAGACATGAATTTTCCCCAAGGACATATGCATCTTCTCGGAGCTTTTCCAGGCACAATTTAACAATAGTGAACAATTCTGCTGTGTGCTTCTGGAAATAAGACGCATGCAATAACTATCCTGTATCTGTCTTGTTATGGTGAATGTCACAATAAATATGGACAAGGATAGAGTTGGTTTTTCATTCCTTTCTCATTTTTTGCTTGTTTCTTTGGAGTTTTGTTCTGTGTTTGTTCTGTGTTCTGGAAAGGGTTTCTGAAAAGGACTTTATGGATTTCTTGTCACTGGAAAGTAAAATAGATGGACTTTACCTGGCACTGGCGCAGGATACAGGGTTCAGCAGGATTCTTCCATTTGAAGGAGCTGTTATAGGTACTTCCATCATAGGTACAACCTAGATGAAACACAGAGGCAGAAAGAAAGGCCAAGAATGAATGTGAGTTTCATTTATCTTAGAAGCAAAAGAAGTTATGCCTTCTAAGCCAGAACAAGTGATCGTAGGAAACACCATGCTCCTTGGCTATTTTCCTCTAAACACAACTAAGCCTTCTAAGTATCCACTTGGCTTTTACTTACATTAATTCTTTGACTACCAAAAAGATTAACCTCACAGATTATATTTTCAAATGGAAAACCATGGATTGATGAACTCTTTAAGCCAAAATACATAACCTCATGACTTTATTTATACCTAGTAAGTATGAAGAGGACCAGGACTCAAAACACCACTGTGAAAGGGGATTTTACACAAGACTAAATGAACTTAAGATTGCTGAAGGTCAAGAGGGAAATGTAAAACACGGCAAGAAGCAAAAGCAAGAAAATTAAATATAGAAAATGATTGCAAAATTCTATACCCATTTGATTCCTGACAAGCTACTGTCTTCAACAGATGAAACCATCCAAGTCTTGCCTCCAGCTTTAAGAGCTATGATTTCATTTTTCACTTTGATTTTACTTTTAAGTGGTGAACTAGATTAAGGAAATCTGAAACTAGACGATGTATGGATTATCCCACGTCAGTTCACTAGCCAAAACAGAAGTCATGCTCATTCACTGGCAAAAGCAGAAGTCAAAGGCCAGAGAGTCTCAAAAAAGGAAACAAGTTTAAGCCTCTGTAGAAAGAGCCAAAGTAATAATGGTGCAAGGATCACAACCTAGATCTTAATTTAGTTTGTCCAAATAACGCCTTCTACCTTGTGAGTTACGTTTCAGGGGAAGACGAACCCAGCTATGTCTCTAGTAAATGCAACTGGATTCTGAGGAGCACAGCAAGCAAATGGGATTCACCAGGTCCAGCCCGACTGCTTAGCCCAAAGAGTACAGCAGTAGGAATACAGACGGGATAATGCAGATATAAAAGGGTCTGCCTCTGTTCCAGTGACTGGCTTCTGTCAACCCATTCCACCTCAATTCACAATCTTTCTTATCCAAGATACAAAGAGAAGACTCACTTCCTTCCCTGAATTCTTTTGGATACTGCAGTGGTAATTAAAAAAAAAAAGAAAAAGAAAACCTTCAATACCAACAGAATAATAAAGACTTAAGAAAACTTCAATAGACATTTTCATAAACTCGGAACCATTATTCAAATTCCCAGAGAATTATAAATGATTGAAAAGAGCTCAATAACACTCTTCTCTCTAGTTCCTACAAATCAAATTACCAAAGTACACAGCTGATTGGAAACGTATTAGGGAAACGCTTTCACTATATATTTTTTAATTTCCTTTGCATGAAGTGTTACAGTGATAAAATATTCAACCACAGGGACGCCTAGCACACTGCAAATACTTAACGCCAAATCCAGAATGAATACAGTAAATTTTCAACAATGAAAACCAATATAAAACTATTTGGGCTAGCATAAATCTTACGGAACAAACACACTTAACAATAGACGTGCCCTGTGCATGTCTGATTCACTACCACAGACTCACTCGGATAATAAATAACTTGTTCCGAGAGGTGGAGGTGGGGAAATCAGAGGACCAAATCCAATTCAAGTTAAGTCCAAGTAAATATGAAACGCCTGCCAAGTCTGCCAGTAGAGTTTCCAAATATGTTATACATTTTCATCCTCTGGATTAAAAAAAAAACTAAAAGAGTGATTTTATGATTCTAATAGGGCAGGCAAAGAGATTGCCTTTTTTACTTCGAAGGAGGAAGTGCATTGTAAGCCCATATACACCAGGCAGGAACTGCAGGCCAAGAGACTGTTCCTGAACAATGCCAGGCCATAGGTAAAGGACTTCCAGGAGGAGGGCAGAAGTCTCTAGATTATTCCACCCAGTATGGGATAAAAGGTATTGGCACAGTGGTCCATAGTGCAGGGAACCCAGCCATGTTTTCTGCCTCAAATAACTCAAAATGAAGGCTGGCTCCTCCACCAGTTTACCATATGAAGACCAAGACCAAATTGTGACCAGCTTAACTGCCCTTGTTAACACGTGAGTCTATCACATCTGAGTCCATATAATAGATATTCCCAAATGTTGGATGAGTCTGAATGATTGAATAGACTCAAAAATATCAGTATTAATCTCTTTCAAAAGTAAAAGCTATATTTTTTCATGCTTCACCTACCCTCAACAGCACTGGCTGGTTTTGGCAACTCCAGCAGACCAAGCATCCTAGGTCGATTTCAGATGCAAGGGATTCTTGGGAATCAGATACTTTTAAAAAGGGTATTTTCACTGCTCTTTGGGTTCATGTTCTAAGATAAACATGCCATCTTAATGCAAGACACTAACATGAGCTATGTGACGACTCACATATACATACAATCAAAAAGAGCCTCAGATTTACTCCAGAATTACTTCTTATTCTCTGTAAGGCAAACTTCCTTATAATAAAATCTCTTTTGCCACCAACTTAATACTGCTAGCAGGGCAGACTGGCAACATCTTGCCCCTCAAAACCCCAGAGGAGGAATATATTAAATATCTATTATTGGCCAGAGTAGAAAGAGACCAAAAAAATTGTCCATCATACATTAAGGAAGTGTTTCTCAAACCACTTCTAGTGAAAGGTTTGTTTTGTTTTTGTTTCTCTAATTCAGTGTGGGCCAATACATTCATAAAATATAATAAAAATAGATTACTATAAAAATTAAATTTAAAAGACTACAGCAAAATATGATTTTTATTACTATATGTAACAGGTATACAATTACTTAGTAGAATCATGAGAAACATTTCTAGTGGCTTACGCTCAGATTCTGTACTTTTCTCAATGTAGATCAGCATTGTCATTTCTGGACCAATGGAGACTTACAGAGCACATTTTGAGTTGCACTGCATTGAGGGATGTGTCACGGGATGGGGAAGAGCCCAAAGAAACAATCAAAAGATTTCAATCTTAGACATTTAGAACTAGAAGCCAAATAGCAGATAAAAAACTTTCTCTCCTTCATTCACACATAAGAAAATTTAAACAAACAAGATTAAAGTGATTTACTCAAAATTAGAAGGCATTAGGTGTGAAACTAACACTAAAACCTGGTCCTGTGTGAAATCCCCCTTTTCACATCCAGGTCTAAACTGGCAATATTATTTGGGCACTTTCTAATTCATAAGATCTTTTGTACTGAGGACTTAATGGCCCAGGGGGAAAAAAAATCAACTCTGTCCTTTTACATTAAATGATAGAATATCCAGGAACTTAATGAAAGAGTGGACAAGCTGGGCAACAGACAAATGGTTAGCAACCAGTAAAGTCACTTTTCCTTTTCCTCAAATATTTTAAAATAAATGTTCAAGAAGGGGATTTATAAACACTCATTAATTTTCTTCTGGAGATAAAAAGCCTTTCAGCCTCCAAGAGCATCATGAAAACCACCTATACAGTAGCAGGAAGAAGTGGTTATTTTCTGTAGTAGTTATTGTACTATTTTTAAACCAGCAGCTCTCAATCTAGCATGATTTTGCCTTCAACTTCAATATCCAACCAGAGGACTTTTCATAATGTTAAGAGATATTTTTAGATGTCACAGGCTGGGGATAAAGGTGCTTAAATGGTTTTACTGCACAGGAGTCAGAGATGCTGCTAACACTCCACAATGCACAACAAAGAAACAACCAGCTCACAACATTAACTGTGCCAATGCTCAGAAACCCTGATCTAAACCATCACACAAAGCCCAAAATGGTTTTTCTTTCCAAAACTAAAATAGTACATAAACAAGCCTAAACTAGCTATATGGTACTTGTGCATTTATTTCAGCTTTTTATATTAAATATTTTCAGGGTGAGGAAGAATTTCAGAGCATTTTTTTAAACACATACACACTCTTGTAGAGAAGCTTAGCCCAGTCAGCTAGGAAGACAACATGGCAATGGAAACAGTTCAGTGTCAGTTTTAGTTCAGTCGCTCAGTCGTGTCAGACTCTTTGCGACCCCATGGACTGCAGCACGTCAGTTCTCCCTGTCCATCACCAACTCCCAGAGCCTACTCAAAGTCATGTCCATTGAGTCAGTGATGCCATCCAGCCATCTCATCCTCTGTCATCCCCTCCTCCTCCTGCCTTCAAGCTTTCTGAGCATCAGGGTCTTTTCAAATGAGGCACTCTTTGCATGAGGTGGCCAGAGTATTGGAGTTTCAGCTTCAACGTCAGTCCTTCCAATGAACACCCAGGACTGATTTCCTTTAGGAGGAACTGGTTGGATCTCCTTGCAGTCCAAGGGACTCTTAAGAGTCTTCTCCAGCACCACAGTGGTTGGATCTCCTTGCAGTCCAAGGGACTCTTAAGAGTCTTCTCCAACACCACAGTTCAAAAGCATGAATTCTTCGGCACTCAACTTTATAGTCCAACTCTCACATCCATACATGACTATGGGAAAAACCACAGCTTTGACTAGACGGACCTTTGTTGGCAAAGCAATGTCTCTGCTTTTTAATATGATATCTAGGTTGAAGCACACAAATAAATTGAATCCACAATTAAGTAATAAAACTCATTTTTCTTATTAGTTGTGGCCTTTTTTGGCAACCACATTATCCCAAGGGAGAGAGAATGCCACACATTTTCATCATTCTGTTATTAAAATAGCTGTTAAAAATCATCAGGACCATAAACAAATAAAGCACTGGCTGCCTAATGAATCTTAGCTCCACCCAGTCTCATCCTTCTAGTTTTAATCCTCTCTTTTTTCACATTAACATTAGCCTATGGATCTTATCATTACCAACAACTTACCCCTGGCACCCAAGCACCTCACTACATGGCCCCAAACTACCTTTCCAGTCTTCTCCCCTCATTCCTGGAACTAGGTATCTGGGGTTACCTGATCATAAGGAACTTGAATGCTTCTTTAAATAGGTTCAAGTTCTTCAACTAAGGCTATCTGACTCCTGTCTTCATCATCCCACTGAAACATCACTCTCTTCAGCTGC